CCCCACTCTTTCTGCTGAAGAAATGAGTGTCCCTTCACCCAGCCACAATTCATAGCAGCCTTGTTTACTCAACTGCAGCTCTTCCCCACTCCCACCCCAATATGTATATGTATATATGTGTGTGTATATATATGTGTATATATGTATATATATTTATATATGTGTATATATTTTATATATTTATGTGTGTGCATATATATATAAATACATATATGTATTTTCTCTGGACTAATTTCTAAAAACTGGCAAGCCTGTTATTTTATCATTAAGTAACACTGAGACAATGGTTGTAGAGAATAAGATTCATTAGACTTTATGTGAACTAGGAGGAATGCCTGAAAATGTTTAGGTCACATAACACTGATGCTCTTAACCCTTGGGATATTATATTGTTACTATAATTTCAAAAAATAAAGATGTTATGTATTTATCATTAAAAATTTATTCAAAATCCTGCTTGATATTAGAAACAAGAGAACATCAAATATGTCCATAGCTCACTTTGACCTATTGTGTTATATTGAGCAATGCAGTTATTTCCCATCATGACAGCGTAGTCACTAAAGAGAATGGGACCACTCACAACTCAATTTTCCTTATACCTGCTTGTATTAAGTTACTAGGTTATTAAGTTACTAAACCATGAACCCATACTGGAAACATTATTATTAGTTAGCTATTATGAGTTTTTATCTATGGACAAGAATATTTTAGTGGTGTCTGGAAAGCATATGAGTTCTCTAATACTTATAAATATTAGCAAAATTAGTACAGCCACTATGAAGAAAAGTATGGAATGGTCCTCAAAAACCCACAGATAAAACTTCCATGTAATCCAGCAATTCCATTACCAGGTATATATCCAAAAGAAAGGAAATCAATATATGAAAGATATCTGCACTCCTGTGTTTATTGCAGCACTACTCACAATAGCCAAGTTATGGAATCAACCCGAGGGCCCATCAAGGGATGGATAGATAAAGTGTGGTATATATACATAATGGAATATTATTTGGCCATAAAAAATAATGAATTTCTGTCATTTGCAGAAACATTGATGGAACTGGAGGCCCTTATGTTGAGTGACAGAAGCCAAGCACAGAAAGACAAATATTGCATGTTCTCATTCATATTTGAGAGCTAAAAAAGTGGATCTTATGAAGACAGAGAGTAGATTGTTGGTTACCCTAGACTAGGAAGGGGAGGCAGGGGGATACAGGGAAAAATATCTATAAAGATATTTATTACCCCTGAACTGTACATTTAAAAATGGTAAATATGGGCTGCACATGGTGGCTTATGCCTGTAATTCAAGCGCTTTGAGAGGCCAAGGTGGGAGGATCCCGTGAGGCCCGGAGTTTAAGACCAGCCTGGGAAACATAGTGAGACCCCCATCTCTACAAAAAAATTTAAAACTAGCCAGGCATGGTGGTTCACGTCTGTAGTCCTAGCTACTTGGGAGGTGGCAGGATTGTTTGACTCTAAAGTAGGCTGTGATCATGCCACTGCACTCCTACCTGTGTGACAGAGTAAGATTTTCTCTTAAAAAACAAGAAGGCACAGGTGGTAAACTATATATGTATGTTTTACCTCAATAAAAAGAAATGAACAACAAAAATATTAGCAAGTCAAGTTATCCTGCATCCTTGTTTCCCAATGAAGAAAAAGAAAATACCAAAATGGAGACAAGGGGCATTCCACCAGATTTGAGCTTTTGTGTAAAACTATTCAATTCCAAAAGTAGATTTTCCCATATAAGGTAAAAACCTTGTTTTCTCTCCATGATTGTATTTATCCATAGAAATTAAAGGTGTCATTAACCTAAATCCTATCAGAGTCTCATCTGTGTTGGCACTCTCCAACTCACATGGTAATTACTACTGCTATATAAAGAAGGAGTTGAAATTTTCATGAAATGTCTGCCCTCTAACTCTGCTCTTATAAATTGTTTACATCTCTGAATTTGAGGCTGAGGGACTTGCAGCCTCTCACCTTAACCCTAAGAGAGATTTGTTGAACTGGGCTTGAATTGCTCTTGACTGAGAGAGTTGATCATTGTTGTGCCCACAGGTAAGAGAGGAAGAGCCAGATCCTGGAGAATAGCCTTGAATTATTGCATTCATAAGAGGTAGAAGGTGTCATTAGAAATCCAGGGTGGAGTACTTGCTTGAAAGATTTAGGAAAGCAGAGAAGCAGAGGATAAGAGAGCATGCTAAGTATAAAAGGTCTTGCATTGAACATGAGTGGGAGAAGGAAGGAACGAAGGAAGGAAGGGAGGAAGGAAGGAAGGAAGGAAGGAAGGAAGGACGGAGGGAGGGAGGAAGGAAGGAAGGAAGGAAGGAAGGAAGGAAGGAAGGAAGGAAGGAAGGAAGGAAGGAAAGGAAATAGTTTTGATGCCCTTTACACTGTTCCCTTCATAAGCTTTTTTGTCATATAGGCACTGGGAAGGTAGACATCAGTCTAGTTCATGTAAAATCATTCCAAAGCTTGAATTTAGAAAGATCTGAATTAATGAAGTTTTATTGAATTTATAAAATGTCAGTGATCACATCACTGTAAGTTAAAAGACAAATCTCAAAGTAAGCTTTCAGTTCTTCTAGAATATAATGTGAAATGATGGCTGTGCCTCAAAGGCTGATCAGTGAATATTGCCATATCAACAGCTATTTCCTTGGCTTTCACCTCATGCTGTGGTTTTGGCTCTCTCCAAAATACTTTGGTGCACCTATGCAAAGGCTCTTTGGAGACAGTAATGATACTTGTCTGAGTACACAGATAAAATATTCTCAGGAAAATTAATAGCCTTGGTTATGATTTGGTGATGTTCTTGCAAGAGAGAGGTGCAATTGAGAGAGAGGTGCTTTAAAATTTCAACCACAATGTCAGATTCATACCATTCTTTGTATCCCCACTATTACTTTCTCTAAGATCTGATTATTAGTTTAGCCCGATGGTCTTTTTGTTTCTATCATAGCTACAGCATTGAAAAAGGCTCCCAATCTGAAATGGTGACCACAGATAAAATTTCAATTAAGAACCATTCTGGGATGATGAGGATAGCAGTGTTTGGCTATGGGTATGGCTTATTTTTGAGGCTTCTCCATGAATCACAAACATTTGAGTTGATTTATTGTCTCAGCATTTTTGGGGTCACTGTATTCACTACTGGAGTGAAGGATGTGAGAATGTTACAATGAAAGGAACCAAGTTCCAGATGGGTTAATTGACTTCCCTATCGTTTCATGGCTAGTGTTAGAACCGTGGTTAGATCCCAGGTCTTCTAGAGCCTGGTGATCAGCTATTGAAATGATATTGCCATGGCATAGACACTGGGGCAGATGAATGAAATGGGATACCATAAAGGAAAAAAAAAAGGAGGAAATCATGACTCTGAAACTATTGGGAGAATACAGAGGAGCAAGCATATTTTATTATATTCCATGTGTAACTTATGAGAGCAGCACATCATACATAATCCAACCATTCTTTTAAACAAATACAACAGCAGCTACAATAAAATAGACTTTTATATCAGATGGCTCCTAAATATAAATTAATGGCTTCACCTGGTGTTTAACTGCAGAAAAGAATGATAGATCCCAAGGCTGGATGAATACATCAGTTGTGCTGGAAATTATGAGATCTAATACAGTGTATGCAAAACAACTCAAAATATCAAGGATATTTCTGACCCTCTTATATTTTTGTCTTGTACCCTGACTTTGAAATCAACACCCAAATAAGATGAGAATTCACAGGATTGAAGTCTTTTTCCCCTCATGAAAAGAAGATGAAGGAAAATTATTTATAAATAGATTAATAGTTTAGTTTTTAAGCAACAACAACTTTATCATCATTTTCAAATATTCCTGTCCAAAATGCCTTTCAGTAGGAAACATAGTGCAAGATTTTTTTACATATTTCTAAAATACATATTTTAAAATATATTTAAAAATTGAAAATACAAGCTTTAGGCAATACCATTTGGCTACTATATTTTGAACTTGAATCTTAATGATATTTCTCATGGTTTTTTGCTCAAAAATTGAATTGAATTTGATTATTTCTTCTTCAAATATTTTTTGAAATGTAACATACTTACTGAAAAATACATGTAAGCACTTAATAATTGAACGCTCCTATGTAAACAACATAAAAATCATGTAACAAAACTTGACCAGCATCCTACAACTCCCAGACCTGAATGCCTTTCTAATCACAAGTTCCCTAAAGTGACCATTAACCTGACTTTTAACATCATAAATTAGTTCTGCCTGTTTTTGTACTTAATGTAAACAAATTCTTATTGCATTCTACTCATTTGTGTTTAGGTATTTTACTCAACATTATATTAGTGATACTCGTCCATTTGGTTTCAAATGATTGTAAGTCACTCATTCACGCTGATGTATAATGTAGTATTGTGAGATTACATTTTAATACTACCTGTGTTTAAAGTAGATGTATTAATTTGCAACCAGCCAGCAATGTATGATAGTTTAAGTGGCTATGCATGCTCCCCCAAACTTGGTATTTTTCATCTTTTTTATTTTAGCATTCTGTTGTACAAGCTTTGATTTTTAAATCGACTATATAAACCTCTGGCAAACTCATACCAAACAAAGGTCTTTATTGAAGAAAACTGTGTGCTGGGGGTGGGAAGGGGCAATCTCTCATAAAGTGGAATGCTTCAACATCAACAAGTCCAAAGAAGAAATGCAATTTGAATAATGTAAGCAGAAATGTCTCAGCACAGACAAGTGTTTTTGTTTAAAATACTTCTTTATTTTCAGAAAAAGCATTTCCTTTGGAATGAAGAGAGATGCATATAGGATAGAAATTTATGGAATCTGAAAACTGACATTTTTAAGATGGAGGGAGTTGTGGGATTGAAGAAAACACTAAGGGCTTTATTTTTATTAATGATTGTGATTTCCATAGAAATAACACAAGGCAATGGTTGATTTGTATTTTTTGTTTTTTTGTTTTTACTGTTGCAGGGTCTCCATTTTGGTGCCTACTGGATATTGTTCCCATAAAGAATGAAAAAGGAGATGTAGTACTTTTTCTGGCCTCATTCAAAGATATAACAGATACAAAAGTGAAGATTACTCCAGAAGATAAAAAAGAAGGTTTGTACTGTTTTCAGAAAACATTAACAGATGGAGTAACATTTTGAAATTGTTTACTTAAAAACTCTTGGAGAAAAAAATGCATTTTTAATAACAGCAACTGATAAATATTCGTAACTGTTAGCGGTCAGTATTTGGTGCATATTCCAAAATCATAGAGACTCACATGCATTTACATTCTATCATCTTTATAATAAAGACTCACTTGGCAGGAACTAAAAGTCCATATTCCTATGTTAATAGGATGAGGATGAGAAAACAGTTTATCACAATATAAGGATTAACACCACTTCATTGTATTAGTCAAAAATTAATGGATGGGATAAGTAACGTTAGGAGGATGTGATTAAAAATACATCTCTCCATTTCCTCTAGATTGCTGTAGCTCAAACTTAGATGTGCCAAGTGTAGTTATGTACAAAGGTAAGAACTCTAGCTTAGTGGTTGTTAGAACAGAATGTTGCAAACAAATGTGAATCCTGTACCTTATCGTATATACAAATATAATACTTTGTTTTAAGACATAAACAAGCTTTTCAGTTATCTTTAAAGGAGTCTAAGAATTTGTGTTGTTTACCTTGTATCTTCTGATTATAATTTATTTAGAAATTCTTTGGATTTTATATAAGCTGACATAAGTTAACACTGAAACCTGCTGATATTATTTGTTTTAAACAACAGTAGGATTCTAGTCACCAGAGAAAAAGCAATTATCCTTTGTGGATTTCCTATGTAGTAAGTTCTTTTTTAGAATCAGCTACTTGACATTTCAACAGCTATGTCTTTTTAAGAATGGACTCTTTTATTCCAGTTCTTTTTAAAAATGTGTGTGATTGTTTTCAATACATTATGTCTCTTGAAATGACAACCCAAATGAACAGATATCATAGTTTGGTGCTCTCACTTCTAGCATTTGAAAGCCTTGCAAATGCATGTCTGTTTTGCTGTATATTGGCATGACTAAATTCTGTGGTTTATTTTACATCTGCAAGGGAAGAGACCTCTTCAAGTTACTTGAATTTTAGAGCAAGTGTAGTACCTGTCCAATGTAAGTTCCACAAAGTATGGAAATTGATGTGTACAGTTTTTGCTTTTAATAGTTTCTTTGTAAGACAGAAACACAAAGGGCAAGGATTCTTTGAATAAAATTATTCAAACATATAAATATATATTGATATTATGTATATTCACAAATATGTGTGGATAAATAGAAATATAACACAATCCTTAGAAAGAAATACATGACTTTTTTTTTTTTGGCTTGAAAGAAGGTAGTTTTATTAACCTTTAACTGACTTGTTTTGAATATGAGGACCATGCCTAATGGTATTATACAAATCCCTTAATTATCTTTGTCTTATGTTCCTTATGTCTCTTGATAGGGGAGAAATCCCCATCATGGTGGACTGCAATGAATAAAAGCGGTGAAGTATACTTTTTCATTTGGAGTTTGAGAGAGCTCAATAAAAATACTCATTTTTGCCATCCACGTTCTGAATCAGCTGAAAAAGAAAAATGAGAAACGAGTAGATTGGAAACCAAAATATCACCTTTATTTCTGATGACACTAATAAAGGAAAACATGAAATATCTCTACCTCCAAGTGGGCTTCCTTCTAGTGAGCTCTAGTTTTAGGCAAAGTTGCCCCTCAGTCACAAAGCTGGACTGAACCCAAAGCAGAGCCTCTCACTGTGTAACTTAATGTCTGGAGAACCAGAGCAGAATAGTTGCTCCCTAAAGAGAGGGAAGACAAAGGGGCTCTCCTATACATGTCCATATCACCTTCCCAACTTACCGAATTATATTCTTCTTCTTTCCCTTGAAATAGCTAAGTTAAGGAGCAGAGAGAGACTAACATGCCACACTAGTAGAGCTGCTTGCACTTGAAAGATTACATCTGTCGTTTGGAAGTGAAGGACATCCATTTGAACACTGTCAACCAATAACAAACTTACCCAAAGTTCTACTTAAAAATGAGTTTTGCATTTGTATTTAAATACATACATTAAATTGTGCTCAATAACATTCTCATTTTGTTTAGGGACCATGTGCAATGTAAAGACTATCTCTTGCAAGATTTAAATAAAAAATAGCAAAACACTTTTAACATTAATTATATTATGCAAAATATGATTTAATTTTTTGAAATATTTGTTACTAAGTCCCTAGATACTTTTATCTCAACATTATCTCATATAAAAATATTACTTCTAATATATGCTGAACACTCAAGAACAGTTTTTTCTATTGCTACCTTATTATAAATGTCCCATAAAAGTATGTAGTATTTTTAGAAAGACAGAGTAACTATTGTAAGTAACCATGGTTATAAAATGATAATTTAAAAATAGCCAACAATCTGGGAGGCCAAGGCAAGAGGACTGCTTGAGACCAGAAGTTTGATAGCAGCTTGGGCAACATAGGAAGACTCTGTCTTTACCAAAAATAAAAAATAATAAAATAAAGAATAAATTAAAAATCAGCCGGGTCATGGTGGTGCACACTTGTAGTCCCAGCTATTTGGGAGGTTGAGGTGGGAGAATTGCTTGAGTCCAGGAGGTGAATGCTGCAGTGACTGGTGATCACATTCCTGCACTGTAGCCTGGGTGACAGAGTGAGATCCTGTCTCAAAAAGAAAAAAGAAAAAGAAAAAGAAAAAAAATATATTTTTACCTGCACTTAATGGAGTAAAACACATTGAAATTCACCAGTTGATGGCATGTCTTGCAGGAAAGGCACACCTTAACATATGATATTTTTAAAACTTCCAAATAAGTGTTTGATTATTAAAATGTCACCATGTAACTGTAGCACTATTGTGTCATAACATTAAAAAAACTAAATGAGTGCATGACATGACCCAGTGTTGCATCTTCTGCAAATGCATCACTGAAGTTCATCTAAGTTGTAGAAATAAGGTTCATGTTAATTAAATTAATTAATACTGAGGTTCATATGATGGGCTTCATTTAAGAGATATAAATGGCATGGACTTCTATTAAAAATACTTTAATTATTTATCTGTGTTTTGAGGGAGTTTATTTAAATGAGGAAGAACCTGTTTTATAGAAGAGGCTAACAAAGTGTGGGATATAATGTAGGCCTTTTGTCAATGAACAGCATTAGTAGAAGATGAGCACAAAATTCAAACTACTATTTGTATGTACAGTAGCTTTCAGCTAGTGCATCTGCTGGTGTGTGTGTGTGTGTGTGAGAGAGAGAGAGAGAGAGAGAGAGGGAGAGAGAATACGCGCACGCCTTCAGCAGAAATCTGATAGTTGTTATCACCTTTAAAACTACCTTCCTTTTTGGCACATATTTTACTTCTATTCCAAAAATAATGTGTACACCACTTACTTCTATGTTCATGTCAAGCGTTACTTATGGAGTGAATTTAATACAAGGCCCTGTTTATGTCTTTCTGTATCAGTTAAGAAATACTTTGATATAAAATTTGGATTTATATGTCAATCAGCTTGGCAATTGAAGTTCTTTTGTTGCTGATCAGAAATCTTGGCTGGCAGTTAAATATGTCCTTTTAATAAAAAAAAAAGGAAAGAAAAGGAAAGAAAGAAGGAGGAAGGAGGGAAGGAAGGAAGGAAGGAAGGAAGGAAGGAAGGAAGGAAGGAAGGAAGGAAGGAGAGGGAAGGGGAGGGGAGGAGGGAAGGGGAGGAGAGGAGAGGGAATGTCTGCTTAGTACAGTAAGCCAGGGTAGGCAAAGTCTTTTTGGACACCAGGTCTTCAATGGTGGGAAAGGATTAGGAAAAACATTCACAAGGCTGAGAACAGAGGGCCTTTGGATGGAGTGGTTCAGAGGGAATTGTTTACTTTGAGTGAAGGAAAATAGCCTCAGCAGGAGGCTTTAATTTTTTTAGTTAATTAAAATCAAATTAATTTAATTAAATTAGTTTTAAAAATTATATTTAAAATTTAATGTAAATTTAAAAGTGGATTAATAATGTATTAAGTCATTCAAAAAATATTCATTGAGCACCCACTCTGACCCCGGCATTGCATTAGCATTTGGAGATGTCAAAATGGAGACAATATGCTTGGAAACATCTTAAGCCTCAGCTTAAATCCTTTCCATTAAATTTTAGCTATTAGTCCTTCCAGATGCTGCTTACTGTCTCAGGAACTGAGTTTCTTCATCTATAAAAGGAGGTACTCATACATATCTGCTACATTTGTTATAGGTTTATAAGAGATAATATATGCAATTCGCATAGCACAGGGCATATAGAATATGCTCAATAAAAGATGTGGTCGTGGTTGTTATATTCTGTAGGTTTTATAAAAATAGCTAGCTCTCATTGAGTCTCTGCTTCATGCTAACTGCTTCACATAGGTGACTTCATTTACTTCTCATAACTCTGTGAAATAAGTATTATTCCTATTCCCATTTATTGATGAATTTAAGTGACTTGACAAAATTGAGGTAGTTTTTTTTTTAAAAAAAAAAAAAGGTAACCTGGGATTTACAGTCATGCAGCCAAACCTCAGGGCCTACATTATGTTTTTTCTCCCTCACTTGCCCTCTGCAAAGTGCTCATAATCTTCTGGTGGACACAGATCCAGTTTTGCAATATAGTATGTTCAGTGATAGCAAGAGGTAGAGCAGAGTCAAAGAGAACTTCACAGGAGAAGTAATATTGAAGCAAATCTTGAAAGATGATTTGTGTGTGGAGTAAGACTGAAAGGAAAGATTAATTTTAGGTGATGAAACAGCAAGTAGTTGACCTTTTTAAATAAGAAAAGTCATGAAGTTGAAGTTCAACCCTAAGGAGTTTAGGTGGTATGCAGATATACTTCAGAGTTAGAACAGGTTGGCCTTGACATAAGAGATGAAGGAAAAGGAGATCTTTTGGGATCCTCTTTCTGGTTTAAGGGCTGTTATGAACTGATTCATGTCACTCCCAAATTTATATGTTGAAGCCTTAACCCCCAGTTATCTCAGAATGTAACTGTATTTGGAGATGAGGCTTTTGAATAATTAAGTT